CTCTTTTAAACGTTCCATAAGTATTTTTTATAAAATAAATAAATAAAATATTTATTTACATTAAATAAAAAATAGGATATGTTATATTGGATAAAATTAGTACTATAAATACTTTCTTTTATAGAAGATAAATCTCTTGATAAAGAAATCAAAAACATAATTAAAGATTAAAAATATGCTAATTTGCTTGGATTAAAATACGAATAATTAATAAAGAATTCTTATTATTCAGACATAGATAAATACTAACAATTAATAAGTAACCGTAATGAAGCTCTATAAAATTTAATTAACAACAATAATTCATAATAAGAGTAATAACTTTAAACAATAGAGAAAGCATTTATACTTTATAAAATGTTACTTTTATAAGATTTGTAATTAAAAGGTTGGGTAGTATAATTAATTCATAAATAAAATTCTATTAAAAAAAGATTTTGTGAATGCTTAAACCGTACATATTTTGTTGAAGAAGAAAATTACCAAAAATATTATGATCTATTAAAATCTTATTACATTTTAAACATCTCACTCACAGATATTTCATTTTTTTATAAAAGTAACGACCAAATATATAAAATATAAGAAGCATTGAATGAAATAATATCCAAATTATATAATGTAGATGATTCTCAAGTACAACTTACAGAAAATGATTAAGTAAATAAAGTTTATAAAGGTTCAAAACCTCATATAAAGCCTTCTGATTATAAAATAGCTTTAACAGATATAAATTTAATTAATGATTCTTTAAGTGAAAATAATATATAAGAAAAAATCAGTTATAATCAAGCAAAAAGTTCATTAAATAAAAATAGTTTAAATATTAATTTTGATTAAAAATATGAAGTAAATTATTTCTTATTAGACTAGTATAGCATAAATATGGAGTTTTTAGAAAATATGCAAATTTTGCTTACAAATATGAACTTTATTGATTTAGTTATTCAAATATTATTAAAATTATAAGAAAACATGATATGTGAAAAATTAGTCCTTAAAAATTGTTTGCTTATATTGATTTACTTAACTCTAAAGAATGAAGAAAATTAGATTTTATTCCTTAAACATAAAAAATTTTGTAAAATAATAAAAGTAGCATTTTTTTAAAGCTAAATTTTTTAAACTAAATGTGAACTGGGTTTTATTTTATTATCTCATTTATATAAAGATAATCATTAAATTTTACTTAATTTACATACCCATTTATAAAACGAAGGAAAGCTGATTTTTGAGTTACTTTTTGATATATTTTAAGAAAGTATTATAAGCGAATTTTGTGTGTATTTTTTGCAATTTGTCATGTTCTTGTTATTTATTAATTAAAATTTAATACATTAAAACTAAATCCTTGTTTTTTAACTTTTCAATAATCAAAGTTTAGTTTGTAATTAAAAGCTATAAAATATTGTCAGTTGTGCTATAAATAATTGCTTATAAATGGAAGATCCACGCAAAAAAGCCAAAGATAAAGTTTATTATTTAAATTTAGAAACCGTTTTTCTCTAATAACTATTAAATACTTTAAAAGAATTGGCTAGAAAATCAACAATTCATATAAATACTTATGTCAGAACTTTTTTTTCTATTTAGGATATTATTAATTTATTAACAAATAATTAATGGGCAGTTTCTTTAAAATACTAACTTTTCTAATTTCTTATTGTTGTTTATTTGGATGTAAAGATTATTGAAGTAAATGAATTCACTTAGATGTTTGAAATCATTGAGAAAATTGTATACTAGGATCTTAAATATTTTTATTCTTTAATTGCGTAAAAATAAAAAGAAACAAAGCCAATTAATAGCTTAATGAGAATTTATTATAGACAAATTAAAATATATATGAGGAAAATTAATAAGGCTAAATAAAACTTTAATAAAAAAATATTGATTAAAAAATAGAAAATAAAAATAATGAAGATACAAAAATAAATGAATATTTTGAATATGTTTGTAAAAGTTATTAATTAAATATTTATGAATAAAGCAAAGAGTTTTAACATGAAAATTTTTTTGGTACATAAACTCATTTAATAAATGTAGAATATTTTAAAGCTTATGAATATTATATATAAAATGGTATTGTTTTATTCATTGAAAAGTATATATAAAAATTAGAAGTTGTAAATTTGACTTAATCACAAATGCATTTTTTTAAATAATTAATTAATATCTTTAATGAATTATATATATATTTCTCAAATAAGCTTTTTAATGACTTCGGAGGAGAGTAAAATTGAAGCGATTTTAATATTGTATTTAAACCTAACGAATCCTTAATTAGAAAACAATAAGAAAATATCCGCAAAAAAATGTATTCTAAATAAAACTCTTTACTCTCTTCTCATGTACAAAAATTTTAAATTATAAAAGATTTTGAAAGCATATTAAAAAAAATACGAATTAATAATGAAATTGATAATAAAAAATAAATAAATAACGAATTCTAATATAATTTTAATACATTTTCTTTCCAAAATGCTACCAAATGTTAAATTATTTTTCAACCGAAACTAATTAATTAATATCATAATAACGAGTTAGATCGCTTAATAGAAATTTTGATAGAAATAAAAAGACAAGAAGGAATTGAATTTAAATATATTTTATAAAGCTTTATTTTTGTTTTAAGAAGCACAGAAGTAGGTATAGAGACAAGGATGAATTCAATGCAAATATTAAGAAAAATATAAAATTATAAATAAAATCTATAACTTTATTAAGAAATCTAATAAGATTTGATTTCAATGGGATTTTTATCTTTTTTATGTGAAGCTATTGTTTTAGAAAAAGACCCTGAAATGAAAATTGAATATATAAAAGGATTAACTGGTTTGATGGAAGAGGCAAATTAAAATATATAAAATTCAATATATGAATATTTGGTAGGTGATAAAGAAAATAAATTTCTAATTAAAATTTATGACTTTTTGAATGATAACTTTACTTAGTTTCGTGAATATGAAAAATCTAAAGGTGACAATATTAAAAGAATTTAAGAAAACATTTATAATAATGATGGAGAATAATAATAGCAAGACGAAATTTATTAAGCAAACATTTTATTAAATTAATATAAAAGCTTTTAAAAAAAAGTCAAAAAAATAAGAAGTTAATCATTTTAATTTTAACAAAATAATTAATAACATCTATAACAAATTGTAGAAAAAAAAATGAACGTATGTATTAAAATATTAGAAATGCTTAGATTAACAACTGAAAATCATTATTTGCTTATGTAAAATTTCTTAAGGGTTTAAATAAACGAAACGAAAGAATAAAAAAATAACTCTATAAATATGATCAATAAAATAAGCGACATCTTTGAAAAATATTCAAAAATAATTAATGAAAACAACTTACAGTTAGGAATTAAAATTTTAGATACTTTAATAGAATGGATTTAAGGTCCTTGTTAAGAAAATTAGGTAGCATTATGCTAAAATAACTTCTTAGAATATCTTGAAGACCTATATTATGAAATAAATAAAAATAATTTTATTATCTATGATTAATCTTATTTAAAAACAGTTTTAAATCAAAGAATTATTTTAACTTTTAAAAGTCTTTTTGATGGAAATAATGATATTTTTATTATAAATAAAGTTGCAATGCATATAGATATAAATATAATGATAAATAGGATTGCCTTTAATTATGAAAAATATATAGATTATAATAAGTCTGATTCAAATATGAATATGAAATTGAAAAATTAAATAAAAAAAATTACATTTTAACTGTCTAATAATGATAGTAATAACAAATATCTTTTTGAGCATTCTTAAAAGTAAAAAAAAAATGATTTGTAAGATAGTATTTATAATGATAATATTTTTGATTCAAATATAATTAATTTAAATAATGATAATAATGATAATAATATATATAATAATAATAATTATAATAATAATAATAATAATAATAATAATAATAATAATAATAATAATAATAATAATTTTTTTGGAAGCTTATAAGATATCATTTAAAACGAATATTCTTAAAATAATTAGTCTAGTTTATAAAATGCTGATATAATTATTAACGAAGGTATATTTAATATTTTTTTTATTATTATATTATAAAAAGCATTTGAAACTTATTAGTTTTTGAAAAATTTAAAATATATACATATACAATTTAGAAAATATTATCATGAAACGCTGTAAAAATAAATTGAAAAAATTGAAATCAGAAAAGCTTTATCTTACTTTGAAGAAAACACTTGCTCTATAGAAATTATTAATGAAAAAGATAATTTTTAAAAAATATACTTTAGAAAGCCACCTATTACTAAATATTTATCTAAAATAACAAAAGACAAATTTCTTTAGAATGTAAATCGAAATGGTTCTACTGAAAAACTTTTAGGATTTATTTAATAAGAAAAGCATTTTTTGGCTGAAATGGATCATTTCATGAGATTAAATGCTTTAGGATTGTACTTTAATTTGACTTACCTAAAAAATATTCGAATATCCAACTTAATTATTATATTTGTTATAAATCTAATTATTTTGATTAATGATAATGAAGGAGAAAATAATAATTTATAAAATTTTAAGAAATTTTTATAAATAATAAATCTTATTTTGAGTATAGGCGTATTTATTTTGTGGTTGATTTTTCAGATGCCTTTGGAATTTAAATTTTCAAAAATGCGTTATATAGATTTTTAATAAAGCTTTAGAAGGAAAAAAATTGAAGGTTGTGATATATTGAAGAAAACAACATTTTTTTTATAAAAAAAGATATGCACATTTTTATTTTTAATATAAGAAATATCTTTTAACACATAATTTTTATTTTTACTATCGAATTTAATATTTTCTATTACAGGGTTTATAGTTAACTAGCTTTTTTATAGTTTTCTTTTACTAAATATAATTGAAAGTTCAGTTGTATTACAAAACGTAATAAAATCTATAACATAAAATCAACTCTAATTGATAATGACTGCCTTTCTAGGTGTTATAGTTGTTTATGTATATTCTACAATGGGATATTTTCTTCCAATATTGAAAAAAACATTTATTTTTTGGGATGATTATAATTTTCCAGTTTGCGATAATCCTAAAGAATGTCTTGTTTTTTTCCTTAATTTAGGTCTTAGAAGTGGGGGAGGAATTGGTGATGTTTTATTTTAACCAAATAGAGATAATGATGGAGGAAGTGAATATATTGCAAGGTTTTTTTTCGATTTAAGCTTTTTTATTTTTATTAATATTATTTTGCTAAATATTATTTTTGGTATTATTATTGATTCCTTTGCTGAACTAAGAAACGCAAGAAAATTTAAAGATTAAGATAGGAAAAATAGATGTTTTATATGTAATATTGAGAGAAAAAAATTTGAAAATGAAGGAATTAATTTTTAAAAACATTAAACCAAATAGCATAATATTTGGTCATATTTAAATTTTATTACTCATCTAAAGATAAAAAATTTCAAAGATTTTGATGGTTCAGAATCTTATGTTTTTTCAAAAATTATTAAATAAGATATTAATTGGTTTCCTATTGAAAAATTCTACAAATTAAATAAGTAATAAGATAAATGAATTATAATTCTTATCTTTTAATAATATATTTAAAATTATTAGTTTATTTAATTTAATAAATTAATTTAAAAAATCAATAGAATATTATTAATAAATTATTCAATTGTTTTTAATTTTAACTAAAATAATATAAAAATAAATTTTATGTGCTTTAACATTAATTAAAATATATAAATTATACTAAAAAAATTAAAAATTTTTATAAAATAAGAAAGTAAAAATTTAATTTAAATTAATATTTTTGTTAAAAGAATAAAAAGTTTATAATTTACAAAAAATACATAATATTAAATTAATTTTATTACTTTATGAATTTAAGTAGCACTAATTCAACTTCACCTACCTAATTATTATATAATTAAATTGAAAGAGAAATTAATATATTTGAAGGAAGCAACATAATGTACTAACCAGATAATTAAATAACTAATTTTATATCTGATTTTCATTAAATAAACAATATTTTTTTAAATGATAATATTTAATTATAAACTGATAATTCTGATGATACTTTATAATATTATTATTTTAATTAATAAAATAATTAGACATAATTAAATAGTGAAAATGTTTTACATAGTATTACTCCTAAAATAATGAATAAAAAATAATAAAAAAACAAATTGCAAAAAAAGATTTACAAATTTATTTATTAACTCCAAAACTCTATAAGTATTTTTTTAGCATTACTTTTAATAATTCTAAGTATCAAGTATTCCAGTTTATATTATGATCTATATTAAGATTATTCAGTAAATGATTATTATTTTTAAAAAAGCCTAGAATAAATTAATTAAAATTTTGATGATTTTATTAAATAATAAATAATTTGAAAGGATAATAAAGTTTGGTTTTTTTTTACTTTGATAAAAATAATAATAATTAAAAATTATATTGATAAAAAAAAATCAAAAATTATATAAATAATATTTATTAATTTATGTAAATAATCATTTTTATAATAGCAAATTTTTATTATCAATAAATATAAAAGTAATTTTCACTAAAATATATTTTTACAAAAGAAAAATACGATACATTCATTTAGCTCTTTAGTTAACATTTTCGGAATCAAATTTAAAATATTTCAAATTATGACTTTTTAGAGTATATATTTTCAGCTAAAAGAAACGACTATATATAGCGAGTTAAATAAATACACAGAAAGCTCAAAAAGCAAACATTTCTAGCCAAAGGTGTACACAAAAATTATATGATTCTCGTTGCGATTAAAATTTAGATTTGAATAAAATATATTTGTTATCAATCTGAAAAAAAATAGTATTATTACTAATAATATAACGATAAATTTATATATTAATTAACTAAATAAATATAAAATAAATTAATAATAATAGATAATATAGCTTTTATTTTTTAAAAAAATTAATTTTTATTCTACATCTAAATTTCGGAACATATAAAATAGAACTTTTTTGAAAAAAAAATATTTTTCGTAACTGATTATCATACTTTTTGAGTTTTTTTATTTATAAAATTGGATTAGAAAAAAAAAAAAATATTGCAAATATCCCTAAATAAAATTAATATTCAAATTATAATAATTTTCAGATAATTAATATAATATATACATTAAAATTAAAATAAAAAATGGACTTGCTAATAATTGAAAAAGCAATTTAATTGAATATAGTTTTCAAAAATAATACAAAATTTTTAAAAATTAATTAAATTGAAACAAAAGGAAAATAAAGAAAAAAAAAATATACATATATAAAATAATAATGTATTTTAACATAAATATAATAAAACAATTTATTTAACCCTTTTTTTTTTTAAAAAAAATCATAAATATAACATTTTTATTAAAAAAAAATGTTATAAGACGGATTAATAACTTATCCAAATAATATAAATTTTTTATATTGTTAGATTCATCAAGATGAAATATATACTAATTTTTGTACAAAATAGGAATGCTTAAAACCTTTATGTCCTGAATGTATAGACCATCACAATAAAAACCATTCAAAACAAAATACATATGCAATTTTAATTTCATTAAAAGTCTTAAAGAGTTAATGTGTGGAACGTTTGAAATTATGTAAAGATAAATTATTATAATATTAAGATTTTTTAGATGGTAAAAACACTCTTTTAGCAAATGACTTTTTTGATGAGGGTCTAATTCAAATAAAAAATGCTCGAGAGAATTTAATAAATATGATATAGAAATATTTTAATTAAATAGAAGAAGAATATTCGAGCAGAATAAGATCTTTTTCAAAACGTGATACAGATATAAATAATATTTTAGAATAAATAAAAAGCTTTAGTGGAGAAATAGAATAGATTTATTAAAATATTTAAAGTCCTTATTTTATAAAAGGAATTTAAGAAACAATGAACTTTGATTTATAGACTAAAATGAAGATTTTTGAAAATCAAATATAGGAAATTGACAAAAACCATAATATAAACCAAATAGATATCATAATAGATAAAAAAAGATTGGAATTTGTGAAAATGGAATTAAATAAATATATATAATTAGGATAAACTTAAAATCAAGAAATCGATTATTTATAAGAAAATGTAGAAAACAATTTTAATTTATATTCAGAAGTTATAGGAAATAATTTATTAGAATGTTCTAGAAATTTACTCACTTAAACTTAATTTTCTTACAGGTCTTTGGACGAAAATAATAATAATAATAATAACTCTATTGATGTAAATAAAAGTACAACTAATAATAATAATATGGGGAATAATAATATTAACAATACTGAAGAAAGCAAAAAAACATAAAATAATATAAATAATAATGAAAAAGGTTTATTTATTATTCAATCTAATTATTTCATTCAAAGCAATAAATTTTTACCCTTTTTAAGTTCTATTAGTAAATAACTGTATCTTTTTGATATTGAAAAACCAAAACTTTACTAAAACATATAAATATGGCAAGATATACCTGAATTCCATAAAATCGTTGTCTGTCCAGGCGGATAAATATTCCTATTAGGAGGTGTTATTAAAGGAGTTTAAGTAAATAATGTTTATTAATGGAGTTTTAATAAATAATAATTTATTCCTAAATCAAATATGATCCAGGCAAGAAGTTCTTTTTCTGCTATTTATTTAAAAGAGAAAATTTATGTTGTTGGAGGTTATAAAGAAGGCTAGTAAGCTATCCAAAACTGTGAGGTTTATGATATAAAAAAAGATATATGGAAAGAAATTGCGACTTTTAAAATTCCGGATTTATTACCTAGTGTCTGTGCATTTTAAGATGAATATTTGGTAAAAATTGGAGACAATAATGTAGAAATTTATGATATTTAATATGATAAATGGTTTTTAGCTAATCGAAATTAAAAATAAATTGGAAAATTTTAAAATTGGTATAATTGTGGAATTATTTAAATAAATAAAGAAGAAATTGTAATTATTGGAGGACAATATAAGAATTTTATAAGTGATTAAATATTTGTTTTTAATTTCTACAAAAGCTGTAAAGATTAGTTCTTCTATTAAATTAAAAATATTGAATATTTGAAACTGCCCTTTAAAGATGTTTTTTATAATAATATTGTTATTGATGGAGGAAAGTTATTCTGGCTTCAAAATGTTTTTGATGCTTAGAAATAAAATTAATAAAAAATTTTTAAAAGAATTATTATTTTTGATGGATATTAGTTTAATTTTTAATTAATAAATTTATGATTTCTTTTTTTTTAATTAAGCATTATTTATTATTTATTTTTAATTTTTTTTTTTTTTTTTCTTATACAGCTGAAGTCGTTGTCTATACGTGAGAGGATGTCCGTCGTATATAGGCAGCATGGATTGACATCGTAGACCATTTGGCTCGCTTTCTCTTGGGTATGGAAATTGCATAAACCAGACCCTACGAGCTCAATCCTAGTCGTCCTCCTCCTTTTAATCTATCCGACTTAGCTCTGTATTAATTTTTCACTTTCGCGCACATGACTTAGTAGAATCCAGAGGGTTTCCTTAAAATATTATAATTAAATAATTTTTTTATTTATATCTTTTGATATGTCTATTTTTGTTTTTAGAATTTGTTATCTAAATTCATGGATATATTTTCTATTACCTATTAGTCTTTAATTTTCCTATATTTAAAAATTCTTATTTAAAATTTTGTAATTATTAATTATTTAATATAAATAAATTAATATAAAGATATTTTTATAATTAATTATATTTATTTTATTTTTATAAAAATATATTTTCCTATTTAAAATTTATATAAATTCGAATGTCAAAATTAAAAAAAATATTTAATAACAATTTTATTTAAGATTTAGAGATAATTAAAATTTATTGTAACGAATATTAACACACAATCCTTGACATAAAGCATATTTATATTTAGTTTTTTTTTTTTAACTTTTTGTCTAAAAATTTCTCACCTGGAGAAAATGGAATACTATATATATTTTATTTTTACAATAAAGAAAAAAGGTGATTTATGATTATTCTATTTTTTTAAAAAAATATAAAAATATTAAAATAATTTATATTTAAATTAAATTAATAGATTAAATTTATAATAATATTTTTTACATAAAATATTTATATATTAATTAAAAATATTTATAAAATAACAAATATGTCATAAACATCTTCAGTCTTATCTGAGCATTTTATTTAAGACCCTTCAACAATTCCTCCTTATCCATAAACAACTCAAAACAGTTTATAGAATGCAAATATTTTCAGTAGAATATTTTTTCATTGGATACATCCTTTAATAAGGCTCGGAAACAAATATTACTTAGAGTAATACTGTTTAGATGATTTGAGAGAATAAGATAAATCTGAAAATTAATATTAAGTGTTTGCATAAGCTTTTAATTATTATAAAACACGATCAAAATAGCCACTAATAAGGACATTAATTCATTAATTTAAAAGTAATTTTATATAAATAAAAATATATCGTTTTTAATAAAAAAACATTAAGAGTAAATAATTGTAAGTTATACATTTTCTTTCTTCTATAGTTGTTTAGAAATGTGTACCCCTATATTAATAAGAGTAGTAATAGATTATGTAAGCGATTAAAAGCACGATCTAGATTATGGAATAATATTATTATTACTAATAATGTTATCTAGAATATTAAACTGTTTAACAGAATGTCATTCAGCATTTAATTTTAATATATTAGGGTATAATTTTACAAACGCAATATCAATAGCCTTATTTAAAAAATCTTTAAATATATCTCTATTAAATTAATAATAATATAATTCAGGTATATTAATAAATATGTTGTAAGTAGATACCTAAAAATTGTAAGTATTATGCTATTATGTTTCCACTATGACTTTCTTACCTTTATAAATAATTTTTGCACTATATTTAATGTATGATGCAATCGGAATATCTTTTTTATTTGGAGTTGGTATCATGTTTTTTATGGGATTTGTTAACTATATAATTGGGAGATTTTCATACGTTAATTAAAGGCAATTAATGATAGCAAAAGATAAAAGAATGAATATTTCAAGCGAAATTTTTAATTCAATAAAAGTTATTAAAGCGAATGCTTGGGAGGAACATTTTTATGATAAACTGGAAGTTAAGAGGGAGAAAGAACTAGAATTAATTTCTAAAAAATTCATTTTGGGTACTCTTGCAATCTTCACATTATGGATTACTCCTATGCTTATTATTAATTCTACTTTTGCTGGATATATTTTACTTGATAATGTTATTACACCTTAAAAGGCTTTCACTATTATCTCTTTATTTTATATTTTACAAGAACCTATTCGTTCTATTCCAATGGTTATAAATTATTTAATTGAAGCTTATATTAGTATAAAGAGAATTGAAAAATATTTCTAATTTGAGGAAGTTAAAAAAGATGATATTATTTTTAAACAAAAAAATAAAGATTTTGCTATTAGAATTATTAATGGATACTTTTTTTGGCAAAAACAAGGACACAATTTATGTAATGATAATAAATAAAATTATAAAAAATAAAAATGTAAATTTAATAGTTGCTATGATAATTAAAAATAATACCTAGCTGGAGAAGAATCTATTTTTGTTTCTAATAAATCTAAATTAATAAATACTCAAATCCCAGATGAAATGGAAGATTCAGAAGAGGACTAAAATAATGAAAATACTATTGAAAACAATATTTAGAAAAAGTATAGTAATTCTAATTAGAGTGAAGACGATGAAGATGATTTATAAAATACACAAGCATCTAAAAATAAAAACAATAAGAATTATTATACACTAATTAATATAAATATGTAAATACCTAAAGGTAAATTAGTTGCTATTATTGGTGAGTAAATATTTTTTATAAAAAAATATTAAACAATTAAATAATTACAAATAGTGTGGGAAGTGGAAAATCATCCGTCTTATATAGTATATTAGGAGAAATGAGATATGATAAATGTTGTGGATTTTCACCATAAATATACGTAGATGGAAAAATATCATTTGTAAGTCAGAAATCATGGATAACAAACGCAACAGTGAGAGATAATATAATTTTTGGTAATCAGTTTTCAGAACAAAAATACAAAAATGTTATATTTTAAACTTGTCTAATTAAAGATTTTGCTAATTTTTAATAAGGAGATAAAACTTTAATAGGAGAAAAAGGTGCTAATTTATCCGGAGGATAAAAAGCACGTATTACTTTAGCAAGAGCTCTTTATAATGATACTGAAATTTTACTTTTAGACGATATTCTAAGGTTTATAAATTTATTATTATAAAAAATATAAAATATATATATATATTAATATATAATTATATATATTTATATATATTTATATATATTTATATATATTATTAATTAGTGCTGTTGATGCTCATGTGGCTAAAAGTATTATAAATAATTGCTTAAAAATTAAAGATTCTTAAAATAAGACTATATTGCTATCTACTCATGCTCTTTATTATATGAAATATATGGATTATATTTATTTTATGGAAAATGGTTAAATAAAATAATAAGGTATTTATGAAGAAATGTGCAAAAGTTAATGTTTTTAATAAATTTTTGATAAATGTATGAAGACTAAAATAAACGATTTTAAAATAATTTAAATGAAGATGTAATTTCTCAACAAAGTTCAAATTCAGAATTAAATACTCCTTTTTTATAAAAAAAAAATTCATAATAATTATCATAACATAGCCAAGAAGATGAATTTTAATAAATAAATTTTTCATCATTTTAAAAATAAAAAAATAAATAAAATGGAATAATAATTTTAGAAGATCGTAAAAAAGGTTCCATTTAATTTTCTTTAATAAGAAAATTTATCAAATTTTATGGAGGATTTCTCTTCATAATTTTAATTTTCTTTTCTATGTTAATATGGCAAATATTGAAAAACTTTTCAAACATATGGATTGCTATATGGACAAAAAATAATCAAGAAGACAAAAATATATATTATTTGACAATATTTTCATTAATATCATTATCTTATGGTATTTTTGCTATTTTTAGAGTAATTATAACTTTTTATTGTTCCATAAATGCTAGTCGAATAATACATAAAAGAATGATAACATCGCTTATATTCGCACCTTTAAATGAATTTTTCGAAAGAGTTCCTTTTGGAAGAATATTAAATAGACTTTCGAAAGATATGTAAGTAGTCGATTAGGATCTGGCTTTTGTTTTAGGAAGTTTTTTGGTAGCTTTTTTTTCATTTATAGGTGATGCAATTTTATGTATATTTGCAAGTAGTTATTGGGTTATTATTCCTACAGTTTTATTTATTGTTTCTTGTAAATTATTATAGGGATATTACATGAGAGCTTAAAGAGAAATAGTTAGGATGGAAACTATTTCAAGATCTCCAATCGTTTCTTTTTTTGCAGAAACACTTTAAGGTTTATCTATTATTAGAGCTTTTGTATAAAAAGAAAGATTTTAGAAATAACATTGTAACAATATTGATGATAATAAAAAAAATCAGCTTGCTTTTATTGCCATGGAAGCTTGGTTTAAATAAAATCTTACTTTTATGTCCCTATTTGTTAATACTACAGCTATTTCATTCTGTGTATATATTTTTATTTCACAAAAATATTTATATAAATATTTATATTATAAATATAAAAATAGTTATTTTCACCTAATCCAGATCCTTCGATGACTGGTTTACTTTTGACTTTTGCATTTTCAATTGATTAGTAGATTTAAAATTTAATCATGACTTACAGTAGTTTTGAAAAAAAAATCGTTTCATTTGAAAGATGCTATTCATATACAAGAATAACTCCAGAAGAAGGACAATTGTAATATTTAAAAGATCGTGAAAATTTAAGAGTTTAGAGAAATTTATTAAAAAATTACAAAGATGATCCTTTATTGCTATGGCCTTAATAAGGAAGTATTGAATTTTAAGACTTTTACTTAAAATATAGAAAAAATCTTACTTATGTATTGAAAGGAATTAATGTAATAATAAATCCAGGAGAAAAAATAGGCATTGTGGGAAGAACAGGAGCTGGAAAATCTACTATTACATTAGCTTTATTAAGAATTCTGGAAGCTTTTAAAGGAAAAATTATTATTGATAAAATAGATATTTCTAAGATTAGATTAGATGAATTAAGATCTAAAATTACAATTATTATGCAAGATTCTTCGCTCTTTGATGGATCTCTTAGGCATAATATTGATCCTTAAAGTTTGTATAGCGATTCAGATATTATTAGAACTTTAAATTAGTGTCAACTTAATCATTTGATTAAAAATGATAGCTTAGATGCTCCTATTAATGAAGGTGGAGATAATTTAAGTATGGGAGAAAAATAACTTATTTGTATTGCTAGAGCTTTATTAAAAGTATTTTATTTACATATAATAATAATTATTTATAATTATTTAAAAGAGAAGTAAAATTGTACTTATTGATGAAGCCACTGCCAATATTGATATTTAAACAGACTTTCTGATATAAAAAGTTATTCAGAAAGTTTTCAAAGATTGCACAGTACTTACCATTGCTCATAGGGTTAATACTATTATTAATTGTAATAGGATTTTGTTTTTAAATAAAGGATAAGTTTAGGAATTTGATACACCGTAAAATTTATTAAATGATAAAAAATCGGCTTTTTATTCTTTATATCAAGAATATGCAAAAGAAAATAAAATATGAATAAAATAAATTTTAAATTTTCTAATATATTTTGCTAGCCAATTTTAAAAATTATATTAAAAAATAAAAATAAATAAAATATGATTAACAAATATCAAAATTTTAAATATAAAACCTATTTTTAAAAAAAAATATCAAATATTATTATCAATCTACATAAAAATAACATAAATTAATAAAATGTGAATTTATGAGATTTTCAAATAAATTATATAAACTCAAATAAGACCACACTAATGAAATTTGCATTTTCTTTTAGAATCTGGTCTCAAAAGTTATTTATATGATGTTAATTTTCGCCATTTAAAATTTATATAAACTAATATATATTAAACAAAATAGAGTCATTATATATAAAATATAAAATATTTAAAAGGAGGATGTAAATAATTCAACGCATAAAACGGCAAAAATTTTCGTTTGAATTTTCAAAAAATAGATTTTCTTTTTATTTTTCATTTAAAGAAAAAAATGGAATTTCAATAGATTTTAAATCTTTTCTTTAATATTATGCATTCTTAATGAGAGATTTAAGTAAATAAAAAAATAATTACAAATAAAGCTTAAATTATATATCATTTGGGAATTCTAAATTATATATAATAAAAAATACATAAACAGAAGACAATTTAAAAATAAAAATCAATAATATATAATATAAATAATCTTTTTGCTGTTGCATAATTCATAGAATTTTTGATTTTGGAAGGATAATTCGAATAATATAACTGTTGTTAGACTGATTAAATTCAAGCTACTTATAAATATAATTATCTTCAACTGTAATAATTGGTATTCTAATAGATAAAAGCAAGTTTAGGTTTTTTAATTTTTATGAATCTGTAGTAGATGAAATCTTAAAAGCTAATAAAAATACAATAATTATAATCAAATATATACGATTGTTATATAAATCAAATTTATAATATAATATTAATAACTTTAAATTTGAGGATTAAAATACAATAATTTATATATATATATTATATAACATATTTAGAAATTATGATTAAAATTCTATATCTAATATCTTAAATATATTATTAATATATTATATATACATTTTTTAATTTGAATATATTTTTATTTTTTAAACTAAAAAATTTGATTATTTTTTTATATTTAAAAAAAGAAAGTTAATAAAAAAAAATGTTAGTGTTTTTTTGTTAATAATAAAATTGTATTTGGCATAACTTAATTTAATCTAGCAAGACCAAAGTATATGGTTAGAAATAAAGGATTAATGAGAGATGCTTCATGGGTAAAGAATAAGAGAAGTGTTGGTTGACTTTTACTAAAGTTCTTTCCTTATAGTATAGTGATACTATAGTAAGCCGGAAATATTAGGATTAAGATTTTCCTCGTCTATAAATAAAAGTAGTGGTTATGGATAATAACCGAAGGTTTCTGAGCTAGAACAAAGGATATTCTAGAATTATTCATATTTACAAATTTGGAAAAAAAAAAATTATAAAATATTTATTTTATATAATTTTTATATTCTGTTGTTAGGAATATGAAAGAAAAAAAAATTATATATTTATAAATAATTGAGATATTTTTATAGAAACATTAAATAATAAATTCTTAAATACATAAATTAATACATATATGATTCATAAATTCATATAATGAAAAAATCAAAAATATAAATACTTATAAATATATATATATATATATACATATATTTATAAAATATATTATTATTATATATATTTTAAATTATTTAATATATATTATTTTAATATTATTTTATATTATTTTTATATATAAATAAATATATTCTTTTATTTTTTCATATTTTATTTATTTTTAATTTTATTTTTTATTATTAGTATTTTTTTAGTAAATTTTATTTATTTCCCTTACCATATATAAATATGTTAATTATTTATTTATATATTACAAATATTTTTTTTTTCATTTAATTTTTACATATTATTTATATAAAAGTTTACTTATAAAATATTATATAATTCTTATTATTTTATAATATTACGAGTAAAAAACAAAAATATTTTTTGTTTGTTTACTTTTTTAATATTTATAATAATATTTAATTTCTTATTTTTATTTTATTTAATACTAATTTTATATAATTTTTTTTTTTTCTTTATTTATAACTATATTAAAAATTAAAGTTACTTTAATAAAAATAATAATAATAATAATAATAATAATAATAATAATAATAATAATAATATTCATAATATTAAAAACACAATATTTTTAAAACACATTTGTTGTAATAAAAGTTTAAAATTTAAATTTAATCACTAAAATAAAATTTAAACAATAAATTAAATACTGTAATTCTGTAGAATATTTAAATTTAATCAATTATAGCACTGAAAATCCAAAGCATTATTATTAATCTCTAAATAGAATTTAAAATTTAAGGTATTAACAAAATATAATACATTAAACAGACTGAAATATATATATAAAATAACGAACCAATATATAATTAACTGAATAATAAGAAATAATAAAATTATACTTCTAATTATTTTAATAGTCCTATAAATTAAATTAAAATATAATAATTAAAGAATGTTCAAATATAAATTATTGTAGATAATGTTAATATTTAAAATTTTTTACAAAATAAAGCATACACAGATGATCTATTAAAACAAAAAATAGTTAAACCTTCGAAATTATTTCAAAAATAATACAGAAATTAATAACAAATAAAAAAGTATAACTTAAAATGTAATAGAAATAATATTAAACATATTAAATAATGCCAATAAACACATAAAAAAATTTTAAAGATAGGCAAATATATATTGTAAAAAATATAATTATCTTTAATTATAAGAATACAGACCTATAACTATTCTCCTATTTTTTGTAAAAATAATATAAAAATCTATACTTACTCACATAAAATAATTAGTTTAACAATAAAGTATATACAAAATTAAAACTAATTAAACATGATATATGCAAAAAAAAAAAATTAAATGCTTAGACTAATGATATAGGCAAAAAATCAACTTAATGAAAAATAAAACCACCCAGTTTTAATTTTCTTTGATTTCAATTTTTCATTAAATCTTCATTTTACTCCCCTAACTGATATCTAATGTTTAATATATTACTTAAAAAATAAGAATATCTCGAATATCTAATAAATATAAATTAATGGCTATACAAAATAATAACTGTTAATAATTTTGAAATAAAAAAAGGATGTTTATAATGCTCAATATTATCCCCAATTTTATTTATATATCTATTATAGTAAACATTAATATTGAGTATTTAGATCTCTTCTTTAATGAATATCTTGTAGCTTTATTTGATAATACAATCCCTAACACATTAAATAAATAAATATTGTAAAACGTTAATAACATATTTTACTAAATATCGATTATCTTTAAATTATAAAAAATGCGAAGGATGTTACCTATATATAAAAAAAAATATTATTGGAATAAGAACTTCAAATATTTTAATTTTAATAAATTAACTAATTCAAATACCTTAACATATGAATTTTCAAAACCTTCATTTAATCCTAATTTACTATGCAATTACTTTGCTGATTGATTTAGATAAAAGAATATTTTTCAAATAAGAATTAGAAAATCTATATTAAATAAACCTGATTCAAAAAAATTTTGGAATTAGAAACATATAAATTGCGAATTAATAATGAAAGACCTAGAAATTAAATAATTAGAATAAATTTACAGTTAAATATTCAAAACATATAATCAATTAACATAATATAGATGAAGAATTACAAACTTTAAAATAGCAACTTAAGATTAATCTAATTATAAAAAAATGGGAACAAAAATATAATCTATTTACAAGTAACAAAAATTTATATAAGTAAACAAAAAAATTTAAAAATACGATTAAATATATGGACCTAAAAGACTATATCCTTTTATTTTAAATATAAAATAAATAACAAACAATTTAAACCAAATAATTTTAAAAATATATACTGTAAAAGGTCTTATTCTAAAACATATAATAGAAAATTTTAAAGACAAAGAAGTAGAAATTATAAAAATAATAAATACAATAAAAAGGAAATATTGGTTTTTTTTAAAAAAAATCTCTAATGATGAAATTAATAAATTATAACAAATATTAAAAATACTGATATTATAATATAATGAAAAAAATAAAAATAAACAAAAATTTATTGAAATGAAAGATAAAATTTACATTATTTCCTGTAGATGAAAATAATGCGAATATAAAATACATATTTTATATTTAGTATGTTAAAAAAAAAATCATTATTAAAAAATATATTTTTTATAAATGATGTATTTTTCAAATATTTTTTTATAAAAAATATTTTGTTTTAAACAATAGAAAGTAAAATTTTAGAAATCAAACTTTTTATAAACTTTCCCATTATTATCCAACTTTTTTAATAGTGAATCTAGTAAATTAAATACATAGATTATTCTGAATGTCATTCAAGATTCAAGTAATATAAATTTATTACTTAAGTTCTTAAGTAATTTCAGAATATTACTTATGAAGACCATTTATTTGATTTATTTTTAAACTCAAAATCATTTTAAATATTTAATTTTTTTTAATATAATAATTAATATTTTTATAATGTTGGTAAAATATTCATAATAGTTTGAGGTTTTTAAAATCCAGATTTTTATAATATACTTAAATCTTTGTACCGATAAATATTTCTTGGTACATTTAGGGTTCACTTTGATTTCAATGTTCAATTTTTTTTTTGAATTTGTTATTTTCTTTATCTTTTAGTAAATTTTTATTTAATTATTATATAAAAGAATTTAATTCTCTTTTTAATTTTTGATATTTTAGATTTCTCTTAATAATATGATATATTAATAAATTAAGAATTCATTTTTGAATCTTTTTTATAAAATTACTCACGAAAAATAGAATCAAACACAAAATATATTTATCTAATTGTTATAAAATATAATTCATTTATATTTCAATTATAATGATAGAAAAATATGTTTAATACCCAA